CCCAGAGTCACTGGCTTTGTGAGATGGGCAGCTATATAAATTAGACAAATAAATAAATTTTGAAATATATAATTCCATGAACTGTTTACACATATTAATACAGTTGTAGAGCAATACGCTTCTTCCCTTTTTCTTAAAGATAATTTTTATACAGTGAATGACATGAAGCAATATAACACATTTTCCCACTTTTTGGTGTTGACTGCTCTGCTTGGTAATGGTCTCAAGAATTTACCTTGTAGAAATAATATATGCAGATTTCTCTTAACTGCTGATTGCCTGGCTTAGTATCAGCCAACCTTGGCTGATCTTGGAAAGCCAAGCGAGGTCAAACTTGGTTAGTACTTGGATAGTCCTAAACCCAAGGATTTTAGACTAAACTGAGAAAAACTAAAAAAAAATTGGAAGAAGGTGCTGAAAAGCCACTTCTGTATTGTTGCCAAGAAAAATACAAGGATGAGACCATGAAGTCCAAAGGAATTGAATTCAACTGGAAAAATATTTTTTAAACTGTCCAGAGCACAGGGATGCTTGCTTGATAGCTACCTAAGTATGTGCTCTGTGGAAGAGCAAAACATCTTTTGTCCAGTAGCCCAATGTAACTAATTTGTGAAGCCAGTATCTGGTTGATGTCTGTGTATTGTATTTAATTTTTATCAACATATTGCCGTATCATTATGCCAACAATTAGTAATAGATAAATCCTAAAACTAACCTTTAGTTTTTCCAGGATGGATCCATTTTCTTCAAAATTTCACCTTAGAAAAATCACTTTCCTCAATCTTGGTGGCTAGTGATTATAGAGTCTGAAGGTCACAGTTTAAGGAAGGCTAGGTACTTGCTATAATTTCTTTGTTTTGAACAAGGAGAATATGATGGAGATAAGATAAAATACTGCATTGAAGGAAAGTACTGGCTACTGGCAAGCCCTTTCAATGCTGTTCTTCCTTATTGAGTGAGAGAGAATAGTTAAAGCATGGCATATTCAGAAAGAGCAAGAGGAAACCACCCGAAAGTAAAATGCTTAGGGAGGGATGCAAATACTTTCTGTCTGATTAAAAGTGTTATCTTTATACCTAGTCTATGGCATCCCTTCTTAAATATGAATCTTTCTTTGTGTAAACATTCAAATTTATAAACCTTTTTTTTTTACAGGTTTACATTTTGAAAACAACTTGAACATTTTACTATTCTTCTGGATTGCATTGCTTTACAGAATGAAATATTTTTTCTGACTGAGAGCTTATCTAATGGCTATGAATTTGTTTCCTGGATATACTTTCTATGTTCTGCTGGAACACTGAAGCTCTTCAAGATTATTGTCTATGTAGAAGCCAGCCTCTGTCATACTTGATTAAAGTGGTTAGATTCTGCTAGCAATGAGTTCTCAAAACCATTCAGGTAAGGTTAAAAAAAATCCTTCTTTTTCTAAAATCAAAAATTGTGGAAAAATTACATGTCCTGAGATGAATCTAAGAACAAATTAGGTGACATGCATTCTCTGGGTTGTAAGTGAGAATGCATCTGGAGTGAAATAGGGGATATAGGCTTATAGCAGCCAGAATGCTTTATTAGAATAAATTTATAGAGAACTGTTGCAGGGTGGTGTGAACTACAAATGATGAATGGATGTAAGGAATTAGGGATTTATGGATTAATTATGCTGGAGGTGAAGTGGGGATTATAGTTTGAACACTGGAGTAAAGAGATAAGCTGGAACTATAGAACATTGTAGTTCTACCAAAACCTATTTTAAATTCTGTAAGAACTGGTAAAGCTCTCCAGCAACCAGAAATCTAGGAAGCAGTGTCAAACTAAGGGAGCTACATGAAGTCCTCACTTAACAACCACAATTGGGGCTGGAATTTAGGTCACTAAGCAATGCAATCGTTAAGCGAAACATTACGTGACCACTTCGCTTAGGAGTGGCAATCTCAGCAATTCCCCTTAAGCAAATTTTACTGATTGTTAGCAGAGGACCCACCCCAATCCAAACCATTCCAGACTTGGCCCCTCCTAGCCTCAAGCCTCAGTAAGGTAAGGGACTCCCTCTAACTCCCCCCACCTGCCTATCTCCTCCCCGTCTCTGCCCTTCTGGCCGCCCTGCACCCTGCCTTGTGGGGCAGCAACCAGCCCCAGAACCACACAGCTCTGGGACTGCTTGTCATGCCCCAGGAAGCTGCAGCTGCCTAGCCCAGTCCCACCTCCTATGTACCCCTCCATCTATGCCTTTCTGGCCCCCTGCCTCCCTGCGCTCCGTTTCTCCAGCTGACCTTGCCATCTTCTTGCTCCCGCTGCTGATGAGGCATGCCTGGCTTGGCTGCTGGGCCAAGCTGGGCCGTCTTCAGCTGTGGAACAAGGAAAAAAGTGCTAAAGGCAGCCCCTCAACAGCAGCATCCTAAAATGCCTCTTTTCGCCACTCTCCTGGGCAGGGCTGGAGCTGGTTTTGGCTGTGGAAAAAGGAAAAAAACCAAAAACAAACCTAAAGCAGTTCCTTTGCAAAGAGCTCTTGGGCAGGGCTGAGCTAGCTTTGGGTTCCAAAAAGGAGGGGAAAAAACCCCAAAGCATTCTCTTTGCAAAGAGCTCTTGGGTGGGGCTGGAGCAGGCTTTGCAAAGGGGCTGCTTTGGGGGTTTTTCCCCCCTTTTTCCACAGCTGAAGCCAGCTCCCGTCCCACCCAGGAATGTGGTGAAAAGGAGTGTTTTAGGGCGTTGCCATTGAGGGGCTGCCTTTAGCAGTTTTTTTTCTTGTTCCGCAGCCAAAGCCAGCCTGGCCCATCCCAGCAGCCCGGCTGGGCACGCCTCGTCAGCAGTGGGAGCAACAAGGTGGCAAGGTCAGCTGGGGCAGTGGAGCGCAGGGTGGCAGGGGGCCAAAAAAGCATAGATGGAGGTAGATAGGCAGGTGGGGAGAGTTGCAGTGCCCCTGCAGTCGTAAGTGCAGGTGGGCTGCCAAGTGCCCAAATTTTGATCACATGACTGCGGGGTCGCTGCAACAGCTGTAACTTGGGGAACTGGCTGTAGGTCACTTTTCTCAGTGCATTTGTAACTTTGAATGGTCACTGAATGAATGATTGGTGAGGACTACCTGTAGTTCTCCATAAGGATTAGACAAGTTTTGTCTAGCTTGAAAGGATTCAGTAGTATCAGTCATGTTGTCCTGGGATGTTGAATTAAGTTCAACCTACATGCATCTCAGTCAAACCATAATGGGCAGATGTTGCTGGGCATATCAAATTAACCTGGCTTTCTGATTACCTGCAAGTCTGAGTTGGTCACTTGCCAATTGACTAGGCAGTTTTTCTCCAGACTTGGCTTTATGGTGGACTCTGCATATTTTGCTTTTTTATTACTACCAGTTTACAATAATGCTAAATAATTTCTATCAGCTTTTCACAGCCAGTTCCTCAGGGGTTGTAACTCTTTGTGTTTCTATCAAGTACACATATATGATACTGGTTCAATAACCTGGAGTCAAACCTCTAAGTTGCAGTGTCCTTATTACTATTCAGTCTCTGTTTACCTTAGTTTAGGACAATTTTAGTAGCCGTTTTTAAATGATATGTGTACACACTTTTTGTAGATCCTTATAATGTAGCCTTGGAGAAATGGAATTTTGTGGGGAATATTTTATATGCATTGTATGTATTGCATGTATATGTATTCCATGTCTTGATATTTATTATTTGGTGATTCTTAGTTGGAAAATGACATTAGTACTTCATGTGCTAAAGCAAACTTTTATTACCAATGTGGAATATTAATTGTTAGAATAAAAAGGTGAAACATTCTTCCTCTCCTACACTTTGGTAGAATAGAGAGTTAGTTTGGATATCAAAATAGTTTTGCACTTCTACACATTTAAAAGAATGGGTGATAAGATATATGGTTATAGAACATCAAAACAGAAGTTTTGGTGAACTTGAGCAGAATTCTCCAGAGTACTTCCTTCTGAAACACACCCTACGGGTCAGAGCAAAGCCACTACATTTGCAACCCCACTTAGACTTTGTCCAGAAGAATCTCTTGAGAGATCAGAAAAAATTAGCAGGACTAGCAAAGCCATTTTCACAAGTTTTATTCTGAAATGTGGCTGAAAATTTCATTAAAACGGATTATTTTTTTTCGGTTGAAGTTCCTCTATCTGAAATGCTACTAGAGAAGGTTATCTCTAAGTTAGTTATAACTGAAACACTCCTTGGGGGTAGGCACAATTTAAGGAGATACTGCGCAGATCTGTTTCAAGGTGTTTGGGACAATTTCCTTTCAAATAGAAGTACTAATTGCATCCTGAAGCCACATGTCAGATCCCTTTGGCAAGGTGTAATTAACTAATATAGGTAGTCCTCATTTACCAACTGCAATTGGGACTGGCAACTCCATCGCTAAGTGGCACTGTCATTAAGTGAAATGTCACATGACTGCTCCAACTTACTATGTCAGTTCCAGCTGTAGTCAGTAAGCGAATCGCTACAGGTCATTAAGTGCAGTGTCATGTGATTACGACTTGTAACTTCCTGCCAGCTTCCACAGTGACTTTGCTTGTTAGAAGCTGGCAGTGAAGGTTGCAAATGGCAATCACGTGACCACGGCATGCTGTGACCATTGTAAATGCGTGCAGGTTGCCCAGCACCCAAATCGTGATCACATGACTGGGGGGACCCTGGATGGCTGCAACTTCAAGGACTGGCTGTAAGTCTCCTTTTTCCATGCCGTTGTAACTTTGAATAGTCACTGAACGAGTGGTCAGTAAGTGAGGACTACCTGCACTGGAAAAGGTTTGTGTACTTATGGCTGGTGTGGGTCTTCCGGGCTGTGTGGCCGTGTTCTGGAAGTTTTATTTCCTAACGT